TCTAGCCATTGATTAAATCTTTTTGCGAGAATAGCTGTAAAAACCTTCCTTAAAGTTGATAGTATTGCAATGGGTCTATAATTGCTTGGGTCTGTGCAGTCTCCTTTTTTATATATCATTCTAAAGTATGCTGAACGCCATGAATCTGGATATTTATTATTTTCATACATGTAATTAAAGCTAAGCGCTATTAAGTCAATTGCTTCAGGTGGTAGTCTTTTTAATAAACAATTGGGAATTGAGTCAGGACCTGTGGCCGTGGTTTCTTTTAGTTTGTTAATAGTTTTTATTATTTCTGAGGCCAGAATTGGTATATTTATTATCCTCTCCTCCCTGTACAAACCTATCTGTTCTTGATCTGGGTAAAAATTAATATTAGTTAATTGTCTTTTTCCAAAAAACTTGATCCATTTATCAAATCCAATAGGGTCTTGTTTTTCGTTACCTTTCCTCAAACGGTATTTTTTCACAGTCAACCAAAAAAATTTGTTGCTTTTGTCAGTCAATAGTTTTTGATTGATTAAATTGAAGTATTTCTTTTTCTTCGCTTTAATAAGATTTATATAGCTCTTCTTGGTATTTATATAATCAATTAATTGATCTCTTGTTCTAAACCTGCGAAAAGTTGCTAATTTAGTTTCCTTTCTTCTCTTTGCTCTGTAGCATTCCATATCAAACCAGTCTTGCTTAAATTTGGATTTTATTTTATCTAAATATCTATTCTTATGATGATTTGGTTCTATCTTATATTCATTAAATATTTTTATTAAACTATCATATAGTTCATTAGTCTCCATTTTTTCAATTAACTTAATTCTTCCTCCTATTTCAGTTTCAAACTTTCTTAATTTGAATCTGTCTCTCGCAACCTGCTCTTTCTCTTTAATTCTTGCCTTTTCATATTTTGATTTGATTGAATCATCTCTAATAATCAAGTGTACAGGGAAATGGTCAGATAGGTCGTGGTCTAATACTTTAAATTCTTCACAATAATCTAGTATGGCTTCAGAGCACATTATGTAATCAATTACCGATGCTCCTCTTGATGACATAAAAGTATGCCTACCGGGATAGTCTTCTTTTGTACGACCATTAAGAATGTATAAATCATAATTTTTAACGAAATTTAATAATAGATTCCCTTTAGGATTACTACCAGAGTCATGACTATTTCTTAAGTTATAAATTGTTTGATTATTACCCTTATAATAGGAATCATTATAGTATTGCAATGGGTCTATAATTGCTTGGGTCTGTGCAGTCTCCTTTTTGTGCATTGTTCTCCGGAGTAATGTGTTGATTACTGATAAACATTTGGAGGTAACTGACCTTCATGATTTCTTACAAAACATTATAGAAAATTTAATGGACTTCATGACAGACATGCTCGAAGAATTCAAAACTGAAGAAAATTTTGAACAGATTGAATCATTAAGCTTATTTGACTATTCTTCAGACATTCCCGAAGATAATTATCCTTACAATCAACTACGCTTTGTGCCTTGAACTATAAGGTGTTAAATCTCGTAATAAGATGGAATTCGTATTGTGCATTGCATTTTAACAATTAGTGTAATGGATGCTCTGCATTGAAATCCTGGTGCAAACATTTTATTTCAAATTTTAAATTTAAAGTTGTATTTAACTTTTTTACTATTGACCCGGTGATTTAAATGCAAGAATAAAAATTCTTGCATTTAAATCACCCATGATTATCCAACAAGAGGTAAAATGCATCCAATCCATTATAACCTTTTCCATTTCTTGATATAGATTTTGTAGCGTTTGATAAGGTGGAAAATAACTTACTATTATTGCCAGAATATTATCTGATTGATTATTAAATTTAGGAGACTCCAATTTAATTAATGAGAATATAAAGTAAGTTGTTGAAAAACTATAAATCATTTCACCCAGAGATTTTTTCATTATTAACATTATTCCTCCTTTTGGTCGACCTACACCTAGATTTTTTTCTGCTGGAACTTGTAAATATTCAAAGGCCTGGAGAAGATATTCCTCATTTGTATTTAGTTTATTGACCCACGTTTCCTCCAATCCTATAATATCATACTTCGTTAAGATTTTATCAAAATAGCAGGCGGAAAACTTATTTCTAAGTCCTTGAACGTTCCAAGATAAAATTCTAATATCCGAATCTTTAAATTCCTCTATATTAACTTTGTCAGGTTCTCTATTTAGATTACTCAACATCTTAATACCATTATTATTAGAGGAGCTTAAATATTGATAGTTAACTCTAAAAAAGTTTTAGTATCAACTAAACAATTATTTATGAAACTATATGTTATTTGCTTATTCTTATATATTAGATAGTCATTTCTAAGAAATATCTGTTCACCTTTTTTCTTGACTTCTTTATAGTATGGGAGGATTTTTGCTCTACGGTTTCTGGATTCCTGTGTCAGGTCGGATGACATACGTATATTTTTAAATGGCTCTTCTAAGGATACTTCTTTATTTTTATAAAAATTTGAAAGTATTTGATTTTTTCTCTGGACCTTGTTCAGTGTAACTTTCAATATTGATGGATCTTCTTTTTTTATTATGTGAATGTCCAGAATTTCCTCTTTTTTGAATTCTGTTATCTTAATATTCTCTCGGAATAATTGTGTAAGACATTCTTTCAAGTTTGTATTTTCTGTTATCGCTAATCCAAATAACATTAGATTACATTGGTTAGTTATATTTAAAATGGTATTTACCAAGTATTGTTGGGCTTCTATTTTTCTATCTAAGTCTGGCACTTTTGTTTCCAATAGGTTTAAATTATGCTCTAACGTACCAAGTTTAGCTTTAAATTCGCTTATTTCCTGGTGAATTAAATTTATTTCGGCTTTAAGGTCCAATATTTGTACTGTGATAGAGTTATGAGAGTCTTGTATCAACTTTGAAAGTTGTTGTAGAGTAGTACATGACGAACTGTCTTCTGTCTCTACCAATTCGGAAAAATTTTCTAACCTTGTTTCTTCATCCTTCTCCCTCTCTATTTCAGCTATTTTCCTCAGCTTTTCCATCTCCTTAAGTGTAGTTGGTTGACGACGGAGCATTGTATCTACACATGCATCCTTGGACACCTTAACGGCACTTGAACTTCGTGTCAATGGAGGTCGTCCTCTCTTTGTCGGTGAATGAGATAACGGCCCTGGATTTTGTTCTACTCCTGCCATTATTAATTTTAATCTAATTACTAACCATAAACAGTTCGACAATAACCACCAAGTTAACAATTGATTTAATTTTTTGGCACACCAAAGATACTCCAACGCAATTTGCGCCATCTTGGTCGAAGGTCTGAAGCGCCCCCTCATTTTTGACATTTTAGTTACTTTTATTATCAGTGTGATGTTATTAATTTGATTTTTATTTTAAAAAATTTAAGAAAAAATGTGTTCTTCCATCAAAAATATGTGAGAAATTTATCCATTCTAAAAAACAAATGGTTAGATATTTCAACACTTTTAAATTTACTTTACTTCTGACTCATAGATATTTTTATTTCAGTTTGATGCTGTAATTATAAGACTGTGAAATTAACCATTTAATGAAATCTCTTAGATATACTGTCCCCCAGAAGTTTTATTCCTATCTGCCGGACTTTTTAAATATTTTACTCTGTACTTCCTTCTTTTTTCCCTTCCTTCTAGAATGAAACTCTATTTTCATCTCTGCAGATAAATCAACTGTTAAATATCGAAGAGACGTTCCATTTATAGAGATACTTTAATGTAAAAGTATCTATAAAGTTAATGGACACTGTGCTTTTAATCTGTTCTTTTTTTATTGAAAAACAGTCCATGCAAAATTTTAGCTAGAACTGCTGACTTACATCTCAGATTAGTTCTTTGTCAAACTGAATTATGATCGAAGAACTGTGTATATTAATTAAAGTTCTTTAATGATAAATTAATTTTCATGCAATGAAATAATAAAATTCATAAAAATGAAATTAATATAAGATCATCAATATTAATTTCATATTCATTTATTTTTTGTTAATGAAAAGAAGTTGCATTTTGTTTAATTTCTCTCTTCCTTTTTTTCTTTTAAAAAGAGTAAAGAAAAATGGAAAAGTTAAAAAATATATAAAACAGATAAATTGTTATTCTTCTCTGATCTTTAACTTTTCCGCATTTTCTTTCTTATATAATTTTCCTCATAAACTCTATTTATATTCTTCTAATACTAATAAAAAGAATCGTAAATAGTGAGCAATTATTATATAATTACATCTAAATTCTAATCTCTCAAATTTCGAAAATTTGTAAAAGTTTTTATTATGCTAATTTTGAAGTAAAAATATTCAGATAATATAATCATAAATATTTATGATAATATAAAATAGAAAAAAGTTTTAGAAGAAATTTCATCAATAGCAGGTGTTGTTAGAATGGTACAGATTATATATATAAAGAAAAATAAATAAATGTTATCAATAATTAATGAAAACGTTAATAAAAATAAGAAAATTTATAAAAATCTTTTAAAATATTTATTAANCCTCCATGAAAAATGTAAAAAAATCATCAATATAAATAATATATTTATAATATTTTCATTTTACACTGTTAATGAAAAACATTTATACAGCACATATTTAAATTCTTAAAATATACCGGAAGAATTAAAATATGTAATAGTTTTTCTGCATATTTTGGTTGATATTAATGAGAAAAGATGAAAATAGAAATCAAGTAAAGAAACGAATAATTTAATATGAAAATATTTAATTTATGCAAATTAATGAGTTAATATATATATGAAAATAGTTTATTTTCATATAAAAGCATTTTAAGTAATAATATTGTGCTGCTATTCTTAATATATATGCCAATTTTGGACATTTATGAAAAAAGATCTAATTTTTAACATTGGAATTTTAAAAAATAATAATAATACATTTCAAACATAAATATCTAAATTTCTATTGAATTAATTAATACAGACAAAACATGTTTATTAATAACTATTTACAGGAAATCAAATTCAAAATACTGATTTTATTCGTAATTGTAGGCTTCGTTTTCTTTCTTCTTCTTATTTGTGTAATAATATACGACAACAGCTATAATTACAATCGTTTGAATTAGCGTCAATATTAAGAGGACAATAATGTTAACATTGGAATCTCGGTTAGAAATTTTTTCTAACAGTAATGGGTAACTTTCGTTGTTGGTTCCTCTCCAAATAGTGCACATGTGATAGACCATGACGTCCGGATTGAAAGAATGTATATCGAAAGGTGCACTCGTCCATCCGGGGTCACAGTGGCACCATCCGTAAGACAAATTGGCTTTTCCATTGTGACAATCTACGTTTAAAGGATAACCGTGCATCTTACTTAAAGCTGTACTCACTTTGCCTTCCTTAAACCATTTCAAATCGCTTTCTGTTAATTTGCTACTTAAATTCCGACAAGTGTTACTTTCTGGAATGTAAACAATGTCTGGCAGATTTCTTTCCGTTTCCGAAACGCATTCTGTAACTTTTTGGCAGCGGCGAGTCGTGTGATTAAAATAATTACGTTTTCCGCTGTACTTTATCAAACAAATAACTGGCAAACAGTCGTTTAACGGATTTTCATCAACGCTCGAACATTCTTTTATTTCTTTGTTGGCGAGATAGTCCGATAGTAAAGGAGGAATTGGTTGATGTTTCTTCGGTAGCAACGTTTCAAAATTAATATTATATTCCATTTTATCATTGTTGGATGAAATAAAAACTTTGCAAGAGCCTTTTCTATCGTGAAGGTATAAATTAGGATACATAAGTGTTAAACTCCTAGTATCCCCGTGTTTCAATTCGCCTATTTCTCCTCCAATCAATTGCATAGTTTCGCAATCCGTTTCTTCTGCAGTTATTTTCTGACAACATTGTTCTCCATTCACCCTTAATTTCAATGTATCTGTACCAACATTTGTTATAGTTATATAAAAAATCATCACTTGATCTTCTCGTTTTAATTTCATTATGCCGCTATCCTTGATGACAATTGTAGGATTTTTATAGTTTCTTGACTTAGTATTTTCAGTCCTATTGTCCCGTTTTATTCTTAACATTATATTTTTTATGACTTTTGAAACAGGATTCGAGTTTTTTAGGTGATTAGTAAAATTGCCTTTTTCTATTAATTCTTGAGTTGTAATAATTTTCGCTCTTGAATTATAATTAACTAAAAATATAAATAAAATAAATAGTACAGGTATTTTGACCGAAAAATGTCTAAATTTCATCCTCGGCTTCACTTTCTCAATTAATTCTTATTGTTGATATACAATAACAATACATCAATAATTATGAATAACAATAAAAAATTTTACAGTATTTCATTATTTTGAACAGAATAAAAATAAATTCATTTTACGAAAAAGAAAAATGTATCTTTATTTAACTTATTGTGTTGTTTTTCATGCATTTTATAATGTAATGCTCTGTAGTAGGGCACTACCACACTTCTAATGTTAAAGTACCGATTTGATCATTAATATCTCAAATACCAACGAACCGTTTGGATGAAATTTGAAATATTTAGTCTACGCGATGTGGACTACGGAAGTGTTAAATTTTGAATAAATTCGTCGGAACGTTCTGGACTTACGCAATCTCAAATTTAGCATTTTTTCCACTAGGTTTACAACGAAAGAGATTTTCGCGGTACCGGAAAATCTAGAATGAGTCTGCGTATTATTAATAGAGCTTGACCACCTCTTTCGTGGTTCTTTTGAAGGTTTTATTTAAAAATATTGAGTATTTATAAAATTTTAGACCATTTTTAAAATATGAACATTGATCGACCGTCTACTATGTATCGTGAGGTTTTGCGATTACTCTTAATCTATTAATTAATACAAGCGTAATAATTTAAAATAGAACTTAAACCCTTTGTACGATCTGCACCAGATCTTATATATTTATTCTCCGCGACACTAAGGAAAGTATAGACTACCACGTAAACTTGGACAGCCCCTCTTATTAATTCCTAACCCCCTTTTCCCGATCTGCACTAAATTTTATATATTTATTCTCTGAGACACAGCATAATGGTATAAAGTGTCTACTTTGACAGTTGTTTCCATTATATTATGAAGTTATTCATGACTGAAAAATACTTGAAATCCCATTTAAAAAAAATTAAAAAACTGATGAAACCAGGTTTAAAAGTAGAGCTCAGGAAACATCTAAATAAAGTTAACTTTTGAAAGTTGTGGCATAAGAATAGTGGAAACAGATTTGACAGTAAGACTCAATATGTAAATATAGTGCACATTGGACAGACTACAACTACATGAAGTTTTTCAGGGAGCCATCATGATGATAATAAATCGGAAAAATAAGCATCGTCACAGAAAAAGGCTTCCAGCTTTACTTTATACTGCTTAAAGATGTTCTAACGTTCAACCAAAGTAATGGAGTGCAACGACTTTAAGACACAAAGTAAAGCTCGATCTATAAAATATCTATATATTTTTATGTATGGCTGACAAGGGTCTTGTGTCTCGAAATGCATACCAGTAATAATGTTGCATTCTGATGATAGAAGTGTCATTTTGATGTTACCAGTAGTAGCGTGTTATCTCTACTATAGTATTTGAGATATTAGTTTCAACAATTTTCGAGACAAGAAGCTCTTTTATAATACTACTGTAATGAGTTTAGATACATTCTTACGTAATAAAAAATACAATGCACGCAATTTAAATAATTTTATAATGTAATCATTATAAAATGTTTTCCTATCTAATAAATTTACGGCATGCGTAATGAAGTATTCAGATATGAAATTACCTTCATGAATAATAAATTCAATGTTTCTAAAATTAGAATTTATTTATTTATTTTTTAAATTTTATATTAAATTCAATTTTGCGGAACTTTCACTTTACCATAGGAAATCAGTTATAAAAAGGAAAATTATTGCAAATTAAAATTAAATTTGTAATTTATTCAATACTTCTTTTTAATAATCAAAATCCCTGCAAGTTACTAAGGAATAATTTGTTAAATTTGCATTTGTAAATTCTAAAAAAAATTTATTAAAAAATGTCTTGCATAAAAAGTATATACAGTTGTCCCTTGATAATCCGACAGGTATGGGACCAAAGATGTGTCAGATTACCAAAAGTGTCCGGATTACCGAAAATAATTACATATTTCGCATTGTTTTGCTAGCAGTAACTTACAATATTCTCTACTCCAACTGTTCGAACAGAACTGCTCACATAAAACACACGAAATGTGTGTCATCGAGTAAGAATTGGATGGGGAGATTCACATCGCGACATGCTTCTGTGCAAGCAGACACGTAACGGGGACGGGTACCTTGACGGGAGGTGCGTCGGACTACTGAGCATGTCGGATTAAAAAACGTCGGACTATAGAGGGATAACTGTATTTAAAAATAAATAATTTATTGTAAAACTTTGACTTTCTACATTAATAGTTTTTATTAGATTATTAATTAATAATAATTAGTAAAGCTAATAAACATGTGAGATTATTTGAGGAATAATTTTTTGTTTTTTCAGTTCTGTTCTGATTCTGTTTCAATCAGATGTCTATTGCACGAAATATCCCATCAGTACAGTTATGGACTAGGCAGTTTTTAATTTCGTCCAATTGAAATGTACAGAGAACAGTTCTTTCTGTCGTTTTGGTAATCGACCATTTAAATATTTTTAACAGATTTTGATTCATATGCAAGTTTCTATACTCATGAATTGTTCACTCTTTGAATGTCTTCTTTTATTTTAACCAATATTTTTGAGCATCTTCGAATATATTTTTGTTTTAAGAATTTGTCCAATTTCTTCATTTTTCTTTTAGTACATTTTCATAACCTACCAAGACCTTAGAAAACTTGTTTCTTTTTTACATCTCTTCTCTTTTAGTTTCTCCTCCATAGTGGAAAATAAGCTTAACTGTAATGTTATGTCGTTGCATCCGTTTCTTTATTTATGTATTTTGCATTTATGTATTTATGTACATTTATATAACCCGCTATTCGATTTTATATGATTGATGATTTTCAGATCCATGCCATTATTTATAATAACGTTCCTAAATATTAAATTTGTTTAATTTTTATGTATTATATACATGATTAAAGCTTTCGTCGCAATGAAAAGACGTTTCCTAACAAATATTTGGAAAGCTTTACTAAATTATAATGACATTAATTAACTATAAAGTTAATATAAACTTATTTAAAGGGAATACTCATAATTAATTGACAAATTTATTCAATTGTTTATAATTGTTTATGTTTGAAAACGTAACAGCTAAATTATTCAGCAGACTATGATGTTATTCTTCTGTCACATGGGATCAGCGTTTGAATCGAATTAATTTTATTTTAGTATTGGAGAATGAGGCTCAGTTCGGGACATCAATCTCGAATTTCCATTTGTACTAAGCTAACTGTATTATCGATCATGCCTTCTCTTAATGCGTATGATTGTGATTGATCAGACAGATCCATATTAACAAATTAGTCAATGTAATGTAATAAAGTAAATATTAAAATAGCACATATTTTTTAGTAATAGATTTATTACTTCGTTAGTTATTGTTTATACTGTATAAAGGAAATCAACAAATTTTATGGATTTACTGTAAGTTTAGCACAATTAGCGTTTGTTAAGGTAGAATAATAGATTTTACACATATGCTTGGTAGATTAAAACAACAATGAAAGCAAGCATTACAATAAAATTAACCAAGTGAACTTCTTCTACATTTTATCTCAGAAAACTATTTACAAGTTTTATCAGATTTACTCCGTTTAGCGTTTAAACGAGCCATAATGTTGGCGAGCTCTTCATAAACGACAAAAGTAAAATTTCTTCACTTAAAAAATGAGGCTTCCCTGTGGTCGATTGGATAAATCCACTGAACACTGGTAGCTGGGCGCGGTTCATCAGATTATCCACGTGGTATTTTCCGGGTTTTTTCACTTGTCTAACACTTAAATAGGGGCCCTGTTTTCCATAAAATATCTTTTGGAAGACAACCCTCCATGATAGTTTATCCATGTGTTACGTTGCCTTATCAATCCATCCATTCATCACATCAGATATGAAGTATAGACTAGCAAATTTGTTGTTATGAACACAGAAGAGTATTTTTAGATGACAACTTCGTATAATTTAAAAATTAAAATTCAGTTAATCAATATTATTTCAAATTTCAATAAGTTTAAATGGAATGAGACTCAAAATAAAATTAATTAAACGATATATATATATTATACTGTACAATACTTATATTTATATTTCTTTCCAGAATCATAAAATACTTCTATAGTTGTAACCATGAATAGACGATGAGACTAATATTCATCAAAAGCAATACATACAAATAGTCTATGTATATAAGTGAAAATTGATATAGTAAATGTTATTGTTAATAAAAATGCTTTACGAATTCAATATTAATATTAACAGTGAAAATATCAATTATTAAACAAAATATCTGGTTTTGCTTTTTTGTGAACGTTCTTTTTATAATTATAAAAACAGTTTTGAGAATATTTTAAAGATAAAATAACATCTTCGAGAATTCTTTCTGATTTTCCAAGAATATTCGTTATATAAATTATAAACTATATTTATACTATATTTTGTATAACAAATCTCTTGAGAATAAAATAAATCACCCAATATTGATGATTCATTTGCGTTTTTATTTATTTCATTTTCATAATGGAAAATTTTAATATGTAAAATGGATACTTTTCACGCCCGACATAAAATAAACACTTGCTTTTTCTAGTTATTCGATAATGGAGAAAAAAAGTATTTTTAAATGACAACTTCGTATAATTTAGAAGTTACAATTCCATTGATCAATATTATTTCAAATTTCAATAAGATTAAATGGAATATATTGAATTTCAATCCATTTCGAAGATTAAAATACAGAAAATTAAATAAATTTAAATATTTAGCTGCCGTAAAATTAATTGAAAAATTTACATTTAATTTATAAAAGATTATTCCTAATATCCACTTCTTTAAAAGTTAACGGAGAAAAGTTATTATTTTTCTAGCATTAGACATCAAGCTTCATTTACTAATAGGAACATGTCCAACGTAAAGTGACATTATGGTAGAAATGACGAAATTCATGTAAATTTAATATGGAATCGAAATATCAATTTTTTTTCTTTCTTCTAAGTAAAATGAATAATGAGTTGGTGTTAAATAATGGTTAAAGCATTGTTTATGAAATTGAAACTGTTTGCATGCTCTGAATTATCTACACTTTTCTTTATTATGCTTTTTTATTACTTAAATATTTTTATATATTTGAAAACAGTTTTTAGTATAAAAAATATCTTAAGCATGCAAAATCATTATTTTAAATACAGTAAATATAAGAAATGTATAATACTGTATTGTGGAAGAAATATTAAATATATTTTAATAAATTAGAAATATTTTACTATGCTAAATATTTTTATAGATATGAATGCAAATTAGACAATGGTTACAATTATATTTACATTTATAATTAGAAGAAAACTATTCCTTTCAGTTGTTTTCATTATAAAATAGCATTAACTTTTACTTAAAGCTGTAAACGATGATTTAAGCATTTGTTTTTCCCTTCAAACTTTATAGCAAAATGCTAAGGACTAAATTTCTTTTGAAAGTAATTCATATTTGTTATAAATTTTAGAGTTAACAATATTAATAATTATTTAAAATATGCACAAAATTGGAAAAAATAATAAATGTCTTCATATTTCATCCTTTTTACCACACAACGAACAAAGTCGACCTTTTATTAGTCTACTCATCTGCCTCGAGTCTGCTATAAAGATTGTTGTGTTCCCGAGGAATTAAAAGGACAAAATATGAAGACATTTATCGTTTCTTACAATTTCTTTAATACTTTTTTTTTTACATTTTATCTTATCCTGGTCATTTAATTAATTTATTATTATTATTAAATTGCTAGCTAAAAACATTTCATTTTTAATTTTAAGTTATTTTTTCCTATTTAACAATAATTGATGTAACTGATTATATTAAATAATAAGTATTAGGTATAATGTTTATAATTGAAGTGAGCTTAAAAATATATAAGTTTTAATAACCATGTTAGAATACAGTTTATTAACAATTAAGATAAGCATTTTTGCTTTACTGTTATATTCAGTATTCTCAGGAGTAGCATCATATCCACAAACAATAGCATTAAATTGTTAACCCTTGATAACACTTGTTATAACATTGGTTACTAATATTTATGCATTTATAATTAAAATCTTTATTAAATATCCTAACTAATGTTTCAAAATTACACAGATAATTTAGTTCAGAATTTAACATCCAAAATATATACTGTACTCTGCCTTTAGTCAAGAAATCCAACTTTTTTTTTTTTGTTTGGACTGCAATTTGAAAAAATTGAAGACCTATAAATTCCCACTGTTGTCTGTCTTACTCTCCTTTAATCTCAAAAACAAAGGTTAACAGCTGGATGGCTGAGTGGTCGAGATGGTAGCCTAACACTCTGGGGAGGAACCTAGGATCCAATCTGGATGAGTCAAAAAATCTCCAGGATTTTTCAGGTAATAGTCTGTCTGGATATGTTAAGCCCTGTCCCTCACCACCCAGCCTCCCCATTGTGGGCCTGGCCAAACCCATAATGGACTTGCTAAAACAGACCCTCTTAGTGCCCACAAGGCAAAAAGATTTTTTAAAAATCTCAAGAATGTTGTTAGATAAATGAAAGTTAAGACCAGATATGGAAAGCTTAGGGGCAGTGGTCCCTAATTAACTTTATACAAACTTCTGGTGTAGACCAGAAGGCAAGTGATTTCAATTCAAAAATTTTCCCCCGAAAGGAGTTAGAAAGGTGACTGGCATGACTCTATTGTTTAAGGAAAAGTATGATGTACAGGGGCAAGCCACTACTGACTTGAGGTGGAGAGCATATATATTANCGACTGTTTTATTCTCTAGTTACAACAATGCTAAATCCAAATTTTATCCTTTCTTTTATTCTATTTGATCTTCGATGAAAATATATTCTTCACTAACAGCCTTATTTCTCACAAAGTTCTTAAAGATCGAGAAACAAACACTTACAAAGCTGCTCAGAAATATAGGTAAACCAAATTTACACAACTCCTCAAATTTTTGGACGTACGTGGCAAGCGATCTTTATCCTCTTTTTAACTGAACAACATGTGAAATGTAGTATTTTCGACCTGCTCTAAACGCTTACAATTGTAACTGTAGTTATATTCGAAATAGGAGGTGAGATAATTTTATCTCCCTCTTTTAATGGGTATAATAAATTTACTGATAATCTATTCTTGATAATGTATGAGAGTAAGCATCATGCAGGAATCTTACAATTCTTTCTGAGCTATTAGTCTGGGTCATTTTTTAGTAGACACCCTGTATAAATGAGACATTTAATATCCGGATTGAAATACATTACAAGAAAGCAATTACAATTTGTAGTTTTAAATGCGATGTTTATATCAGTTTTTGATATTAATACAATAGAGCATCGATTATCCGAATGCCGATCAACCGAAACGTCAATTAACCGAAAGCTTTCCAGTCTGCAAATTTAAATGTCCGCTAGTGCTGTGGCGTTGAAATTTTTGGCTATGTCTTGGCTACTCCAATATTATTTTTGTTGGTGCGCATGTTTTGGCTGGCAGCACTGGCGCGACCATGAAAAAGGGTACTTAAGGAGGTGCCAGGATTTGAACGAATTTGAACGAATTTCAGTGATTCGGAGAAAAAGCCAACAGGCTAGAGTCTCCATATTAATAAGATAAGAAAGAAAGAAATAACGAATTTCAACATGGGATAGGTTAATCCATTTTTTCGTACATAATCGTTATCCAAAAAATTGATTTTTCTGAACAACCCCAGTCCTTAATTGATTCGGATAATCGATGCTCTACTGCAGTGTTTTTCAACCTTTTTCATTGAGTGGCACACCTAATTGAAAAATAACAAATCGTGACACCCTTGACCAGCGGCGGATCTAGAATCTGAATAAGGGGGGGGGGACTAATGGGCCAGATTAATTTTTTTGCGAAAACGAATATTACGCGCAACGCAAAAGTGTTTCTACGTGTTCAAAATCAAAATTTAAGTNGTAACTGGCCCCTATTCAGGCATTACAGACGTGGAGAAAATCCGGAAAACTCCAAGTAACCAGCCCGTCCGAGGAGGAGCGAACCCACGACCGAACTTCCAGTGTTCAGGGAACTGAACCGCTTGACCACTGGTGGATCTGGTGGTGATTGTGAAATAAATTGAAAACATTAATGAAAATTAAACGTTCCCCAGTAGATAAAAGTTTATTCTCATAATAATAATAATAATAAATTTTATTAAATTCGTATTAAATTGAATAAAAATGTAATTAAATTAGTAGTAATATATTTACATAAATTAATACGAATTTAATAGAATTTATTTTAGAAAGGTGTAATCAGGAAATAAGATATATTTTTAAAATTCGTATTTCGTATCAAAAGAAAATGCAAAATTTTTAAGAGCATGATGTTATTAATGGATAACTGTGCATCGTACTTAATTAAAGCTGTACTCACTTTGCCTTCCTTAAACCATATCAAATCGCTTTCTTTAATTTGCTACTTAAATTCCGACAAGTGTTACTTTCTGGAATGTAAACAATGTCTGGCAGATTTCTTTCCGTTTCCGAAACGCATTCTGTAACTTTTTGGCAGCGGCGAGTCGTGTGATTAAAATAATTACGTTTTCCGCTGTACTTTATCAAACAAATAACTGGCAAACAGTCGTTTAACGGATTTTCATCAACGCTCGAACATTCTTTTATTTCTTTGTTGGCGAGATAGTCCGATAGTAAAGGAGGAATTGGTTGATGTTTCTTCGGTAGCAACGTTTCAAAATTAATATTATATTCCATTTTATCATTGTTGGATGAAATAAAAACTTTGCAAGAGCCTTTTCTATCGTGAAGGTATAAATTAGGATACATAAGTGTTAAACTCCTAGTATCCCCGTGTTTCAATTCGCCTATTTCTCCTCCAATCAATTGCATAGTTTCGCAATCCGTTTCTTCTGCAGTTATTTTCTGACAACATTGTTCTCCATTCACCCTTAATTTCAATGTATCTGTACCAACATTTGTTATAGTTATATAAAAAATCATCACTTGATCTTCTCGTTTTAATTTCATTATGCCGCTATCCTTGATGACAATTGTAGGATTTTTATAGTTTCTTGACTTAGTATTTTCAGTCCTATTGTCCCGTTTTATTCTTAACATTATATTTTTTATGACTTTTGAAACAGGATTCGAGTTTTTTAGGTGATTAGTAAAATTGCCTTTTTCTATTAATTCTTGAGTTGTAATAATTTTCGCTCTTGAATTATAATTAACTAAAAATATAAATAAAATAAATAGTACAGGTATTTTGACCGAAAAATGTCTAAATTTCATCCTCGGCTTCACTTTCTCAATTAATTCTTATTGTTGATATACAATAACAATACATCAATAATTATGAATAACAATAAAAAATTTTACAGTATTTCATTATTTTGAACAGAATAAAAATAAATTCATTTTACGAAAAAGAAAAATGTATCTTTATTTAACTTATTGTGTTGTTTTTCATGCATTTTATAATGTAATGCTCTGTAGTAGGGCACTACCACACTTCTAATGTTAAAGTACCGATTTGATCATTAATATCTCAAATACCAACGAACCGTTTGGATGAAATTTGAAATATTTAGTCTACGCGATGTGGACTACGGAAGTGTTAAATTTTGAATAAATTCGTCGGAACGTTCTGGACTTACGCAATCTCAAATTTAGCATTTTTTCCACTAGGTTTACAACGAAAGAGATTTTCGCGGTACCGGAAAATCTAGAATGAGTCTGCGTATTATTAATAGAGCTTGACCACCTCTTTCGTGGTTCTTTTGAAGGTTTTATTTAAAAATATTGAGTATTTATAAAATTACAGCCCATTTTTAAAATTTTAAAATTTCAACGTTTCTAGAATTATGTATTGTAAGATATTATAAATGCCTGATATGCATGTTATCTGAGACATTTCGAATTGATTTTATGCAAACAAAATGTGTTGTAAAAAGTTTTAAAATTAGCTTTGAAACAAAGAATACAATCTCACATTAACAATAACGTTTTAAATTTATAACAGTTTTAAATTTTAAAACTGTTATAATTAAATCACAAATTATGTTTAAAAAGCTGTTAAAAATACGAATAAACTTTCTGTTTAATTCAATAATATTAATAGGCGTATTTTGCTCCTCTATTTTGTGTATGGGTATCTTTTATTTTTATATTTATTTTTTATGATTTACGCATGCTAGTGTGAGCCACCGGGAGGTAAGAGGAGCCCTCTCCTTCCGGCCACAGGTCGGACCCTACTTTTCTTGTCAGAGATGGTAGTAACGTTCGGTTACTCGTTACGCGAGTGGAGGAGTCGGAGGGGTCGACGATAAGGCGTGAGCAAAGTCGAGTAACGACACCATTTAAAAACAACGGTTTATTTAACGCGCTAACTAAATAAAATTTTACAAAACTCTGCGGATGAGAGAGAGAGAGTTTACAATAATATTTCATACCTCTGTGATAGTATCGGATGGATACTTCGGCTTTAATTTCTGAAAAGTGGTGCGAATTGGGGCACAAGGTCTTCCAATTAGTGTCGTTTAGTAGGTCAACGGGAAGTGAAGGTCCGTCTTGGTCGTTCGATGGGTGACTCTCTCGAGAGGGGAAGGAGGATGGCTTTTATACATTTTTTGTGGGAAAATTCGTCAGGTGACCAATTGTTTTCGCAGGTGTGGGGTTAAAGTTGGTGTTAGAATGACAACAATATGACGAATTTTGTCGATAGTTGTAAACTATTCACGGATTGATTGTGAGAATGTTTATAGTTAAATAGAAAGAGTTATAATTTTCTCATGCACCTCAAATTTCGTTTCTGCAGGTGCAACTTCTAGTTAAAAGAACTTTTATTTAAATTTATTAAAAATTTAAAGGATTAAATGCTTTTATTACCTTATATAAATCTCGAATTTCACACTAGGCTTGTAAACATTCTGTTAAATTTGTGTTAAATTCCAGTTAAAATCCATTTATAAGTGTACTCTTAGAATCTGGAATGGATTAGTCTAATTTACATTATTCCTTATGAGAAAAAAAAAATTGTTCGGTACTCGAACAGACTTCTGGAACGAATTAAGTTGAAGTACTGAGGTACCACTGTATATTAAAAAAATATAAATATATATTTATTTATGTTATTTAATATATATCTAGTAATGTTTTAATTCTTTTAGATATTAAAATTTTTATAGCAATGTAAATTGTTAATAGAAATTATATATTATTATTGTTACGTTAGTTATACGTTGTTTTCTAACAACTATGTTTTATATTACACCTTTATTAAAATTTTATTTCGATTATGAGAATTACTTTTTTCTTAAAAATTGTGTTATAAATATTCTGCATCATACATTTTAAAGTCTAATTATATAATATATATATTTTATTGAATTAAATTGAAGCGTGGGAGAAGTAATGTTGTTTCCATATCACATACAACATATTCAAGAGAATGACCCTCTTAGCATTTCTCTACAAAAATAAGATCTTTTATTTTGTTTATTAATATATATAGACTAATGTACTGTACATTTCTAACTTCTTAGTAGAAACATTATCTTCATTTTTAATATTTTCAACACTGTTTGAAATGTGATCCAATACCACTATCAGATAATAGAGGATTGTTATCTGTTATATCATTTTTGTTATAGCAACGAAGAGTACTTCGTTGCTATAACAAAAGTAACGAAGAGTACTTCGTTAGATATATAGCAACGAAGTACTCTTCGTTGCTATATAATTAATTGCTACATTTTGGCTGACTTGATTGACATTATACAATTAAAATTATATTTCGAAGAACATAATCTCAATTTATGACACAACTTGTAAAGTATGATGGCTTAATGAAGGTTTTACAAAAACAGTTTCAAGTTTTCACGATCCATCATTTTTATGTTTTCAGGAACAGAAGTTCGAAATACTATAAAAGTGATAAGTCTACTATATGTTTGTACTGTATTATTAAGGCAAATCCTATTTTACTATGATTATACAGGATCTCAGAAAAAGTGATCCAGACTAATAACTCAGAAAGAACTGTCAGATTCCTGCAACGATGCTTACTCTCACACATTATCAAGAATAGATTATTCAGTGAATTTATTATACCCACTAAAAGAGGGGAGTAAAATTATCTCAGCTCCTATTTCGGATATAACTACAGTTACAATTGTAAACGTTTAGAACTGGTCGAAACTACTACATTTCACATCTACATTTTACATTTTGTTCAATTAAAAAAAAAGATCGATCGCCATGTACTCCCAAAAACGTGAAGGGTTGTGGAAATTTGGTTACTCTGTGGTTCTGATCTGCTTTGTGTTTGCTTCTCAATCTTTAAGTACTTTGTGAGAAATACAGCTATTAAAGAACGCTAAAATTTGGGAATTAGCATTTTATTGCACAGGGGCTAAAAAATCGAAAAAGACAGTTTTTCCAGATCACAAACATACATCTAAAAAAATCGGTTTATCACGTTCTACATCAAAATACGTAAACACTTCCATTTAGTATTACCTCAAAGAAATCGATTAAACCCTCTGTCTATGAATAGCAATTTGTAATTTATGATGGCATACAAATTGTAATTTATGATGGCTGGACGATCTCAACCTGCGCAACATCATCACGTTTGTTAAAATTATTGCTAAATGGAAATGTTTATTTATAAGGGTTGCCCAATGAAAAGTGGGCGTATTTCATCGTGCAAAGTAGCGATTGGTGGGACACGTTACGGGAAGGAAGCTCAACAGAGACGGAGCGCGGGATGCATTAAGTATTCAGAATGTATTTTATCTTCAGTAATTAGCAGATTAATGTTAAGTTAGTTAGGTGAGAGCGTCAAAATCGAACAACGGGCAATAGTTCGGTTTTTAGTGGCTGAAGGGAATAGGAGTACCGACATCTAAAGACAAATGAAGCACGCTTATGTTGAACATTATTTAGGACGAACAGCAGTGAATAATTGGTACAAGAGTTACAGAGAAGGCCGCAAATCAATTCAGGATAAACCGAGATCAGATCATGCATATACCATAATCTCCACTGCATCAATTACTGCTGTTTGACTTTATGCCACCACACAACGATCAACTCAGAATGCTATTGTAAACCTCTGTCACGGCTGCGCAAAGTAATACAGTTAAAACGCCTAGGACTCCTCTCGCAAAAAGTCATCCTACTTCACGACAATACCTGTTTCCATACGGCAAGTACAACCGTTGCCAATTCTACTCGGAGATTATAGAAAACACGCCATATAGTCCTGACCTGTTGCCATGCAACTTTTATATTTTCGGATCTCTGAAGAAAGTTTTTACGAAGGCAAAGTTTCATGTCGAACGTTGAGATAATGAATAGAGTCAAAGAATATTTTACCAGCAGACACCAAAACTGCTTGTGAAACGCTGGGATCTTTGCCTAAGCAAACATGGATATTTCTTTTAGATTCGAAATAAATGCTTGCCAGTTCAGATGTGTTTCCACTTTTTATTTGGGTAACCCTTATATTTTGACGTAGAATGTGATAAAGCGATTTTTTGTAGATGTAAGTTTAAAATCTGGAAAAACTGTTTTATTCTTTTTCGACTGTTTTATTCTCTAGTTACAACAATGCTAAATCCAAATTTTATCCTTTCTTTTATTCTATTTGATCTTCGATGAAAATATATTCTTCACTAACAGCCTTATTTCTCACAAAGTTCTTAAAGATCGAGAAACAAACACTTACAAAGCTGCTCAGAAATATAGGTAAACCAAATTTACACAACTCCTCAAATTTTTGGACGTACGTGGCAAGCGATCTTTATCCTCTTTTTAACTGAACAACATGTGAAATGTAGTATTTTCGACCTGCTCTAAACGCTTACAATTGTAACTGTAGTTATATTCGAAATAGGAGGTGAGATAATTTTATCTCCCTCTTTTAATGGGTATAATAAATTTACTGATAATCTATTCTTGATAATGTATGAGAGTAAGCATCATGCAGGAATCTTACAATTCTTTCTGAGCTATTAGTCTGGGTCATTTTTTAGTAGACACCCTGTATAAATGAGACATTTAATATCCGGATTGAAATACATTACAAGAAAGCAATTACAATTTGTAGTTTTAAATGCGATGTTTATATCAGTTTTTGATATTAATAAAATAGAGCATCGATTATCCGAATGCCGATCAACCGAAACGTCAATTAACCGAAAGCTTTCCAGTCGGCAAATTTAAATGTCCGCTAGTGCTGTGGCGNAGAACTGACAATGACTTATCTTGAACTACACTTAAGTAAATTTCCAAGAAAATGCCTAAAGGCTCTAAACTTTGCGACACCCCAATCGTGGCG